TATCTTGGCTTTAGTGAGTGTCTCAGAGTTGCGGAGTAGCTCTGTCATTGCCCATTCTAGTGTGCTTGTAGTTGTATCAGTACCAGCTACGAAGAGATCCTAATTAATTAAACCACAATTAGTCGGTAATGAAAAGAAAATAAAAAAGACCGACCAATCAATAAAAACACATTTAGAAGATTAGAGTTTATGGTTGATAAAAATGTTACTAATAAATAATACTGCTATGTACGGGGTGATTATGCATTTTCTGTATGCATTATGTACTTAATACTTATAATAGGACTAGGCGGTGACGCACACTTTGCCGCGTATTATTGGCAATTGTGTGGGTAGTTGCCTGTTGAGATGTAATTCGTTTGAGTACACGATTATATCCTTTTATTTTACAAATTATAAGAAAATTATTCAAGATATGTACTAAATTTAGTCATATAGTATTTTTCTCATTTTTACAAAATTTACCACATCTCTAGTCAAGCTTGTTAACCTGTGGGTTGACAGGTTTTGATCCTAACCCGGTGAAGAAAAACAGGTGCAACATACTGGCGGGTCGACCGCATCAAGGCTCTCTGATTGGAAGTCACATGACGTCGTTTTTCCCTTTGGTTACGAAATGCGGTTATTTTCCTGTTTTTCCTTTGTCTAGAATTCTAACTTGAACATCTGATATTTATGTTATATGAGTGTGTTTAAATATTTAATTTCTCATAATTTGGATATATGACATTTCTCTAATTCAGAAGCGCAAAGCAGAAACATAAAAATATATATTTATTAGATTTTATTTCTAACGTGAAAATTAAAATTATTTGGTCCGCTCCTTGGTTTTAAGTTATCTTTCACTATTGGACCTCGATTCTCGGAATTTGGTCCGATTCGGTTCGACCCGAACCGATGTCCACCCCTAAAACCGAGTGATCAAACATGCAATTCACCCTATAATTTCAAGTAATGCATTATTGAAAATGCCACGTCAAACGCAAGCTCACATACGCCACCTTGACATTTGCTATTGGAGGCAAACCAATTAATTTAAAAGGAGTGGGAGAGGAAGAGGAAGTAGAACTCAAGAGACAAAATGTTAGTGAACAGTAATCTCTATTTAGGTTTATATATATATCAGCTAGGTGGTGATGTCGTGCCTTGGCGCGGGGAAAGATGGCGTATGGGCATGTATTATGTGACCCGTTATGGTGTTTTGTTAGTATTATTAGTCTAAAATCAATTTTTGTTAGTGATATTGACTTGATTTTATGATATTGACTAAGAAGAGATATATGGCGGTCAACAACCAATTTTAAATTTTTTTAAAATATTAGTAATAAATAATATTTATCTGAACTCAATTAGACTCATTGATTATATGGTCATTGATTATGGGTAGGGGTATAGGTGATATATATATGCGTTTGGAATTTTGTAGATGGGTTTGGGTAGGGTGTGATGTTTACTTCTATAATCTAAATGTGTATGAGTTGAGTATGGATTCCATTTATTTGACGGTATTTTAATTACACAAACAAAAACTAGACCTATTTGTAGACTTTAAAAGTTTAGGTACCAAAATATAATATATAAAAAAATTAGGTACTAAAATATTTTATTTCAATAATATTTTGAGGAATTATATGCCAACAAATAAATTTATGTTATAAATCTAAATATTTATTAAGTTTAGATACTGAACTTTAATTTTCATGGTTGAGGATTAATTCCTTTTATGGTGATGTATTTATGATAATAATTATTTAATTTTTTATAGAAAATTGGAAACTATTTATTTGATATGTGTAGATACCTAGCCAAACATTTCCATGTATAATTGTAGAAAATTCTAGCTCGGTGAAAAAGAAAAACTCTAGAGAGAAGCAAAATGAATAAAACTGGAACTCGATTAAAATTTCACGCCTTCAAATACCATAGTGGAAAATGATGATTTTTTAATAAGTACTAACCATATTTATTTTTACTTGGACTCGACATTGAGCTGAAAAAATGAGTGGTTCATGGTTTAATTATTAATTCTCTATATTGTTGGTGAGTCATGTATGGACCCATTCATACTTGTGATTAGAATACATAAAAATAGTATACTAATTATAGTTGGATGAAGAAAACAAAGAAAGAAATAAATAAGGATTATGGAAGGTGAGTGAGAAAGGAAACTAAGAGGAAGTAAATCATGAAAAGGTTTTGACCAATTCTTTTAGCTGGCCGTCAATGCAATAGTCAACCCCTTTTCAGCGTAACAATTTATTGACACTTGCTTATTTAGATGTCTAGGAGTGTGAATGATCCGGTCCAGGAACAGACCGGACCAAGTATAATGCGATCTGATCCTTGGTCCACATGAATTTTGCAATTACTAAAGAAATTATGGACTGAACATATATTTGGACCAGACCGAACTGAATCGAATCGAACCAAATAGACCGAATGTAATGATGGTCCGGTTCTTGGTCCTAAGATGTCTTTTCACTAATGGACTGCGATATTCATGAATTAGATCCGATCCGGGGTGGACCGAACTGTTGCACACCCTATAGATGTCACATATTTTGTTACATGTAGTTAGTAGAAGTTTGTTTAGTACCCTGTAAATGTACTAAATGAGATTATAAATTCGCTCATACAATATTTAGAGTCGTCTATCTTTTATCATTTATTTGTTAGTATAATACAAACTAATTTTACACTTTTATGTTATGGTTGATTGAATTCATGGATTGGTTCAAAAGGATTGGTGGATTGGATTCATATATTCAAGTGAAATCTAAACATTAGACCAATATGTAAATTTAAAAAATTGTAGGTACCAAAATCTCATAACATTTAGTTAAAAAACATAATTATTCAATGATTTTACATTAAAATTAAATTTAAGGTATCAAAATGTAAAACGTTATAGAGACTAATTTGTAATTTGGTAAGCAACAACTTCAACTTTATATATAAGAAAGTATTTAAGCAATACTGGTATACATTTGGTAGTTATTGACTTGCTTGTAAACATTTTTTGAAAACTACTATATGCATTTCTTTATTACTTGTGTGTGCATTTGGTAGTTACTGATACCCATTTGTTATATATAAACAGATGATGCATTTCTCTAATACCAGTACACATTGAAACAATAATGATTTGTATTCATTCGCTGGAATTTGCCATTAAAGATCGAAAATTTACAATTATCTGCTAGTATATATTTTTTCTTATTAATTTTTTTTATTAATTCCGCTTATCATTAACATGAGAGTGGATATGGTGCTGTAACAATTGATAGCATGGAACTGACACTTATTTTAAGGGTATTATGGTAACTATTTCTTTTTCCCTCCCTTTCCTCCTCCCTATGTAGTTTTATAGTGATTTTATGTAAAAATTACAGTTTTGGTAAGTGGAATTTATATATCCTGATATTTAATAACTAAAATGAATTTTTTTACAAATAAGTCTCGGAAATATGAGTGAAAATTACAAATAGTTACTGTTATGATATGCTTTAAGAAACTTGTAGTATGTTTTGATAAACATATATATACTTTAATGAACTTGTGATATGCTTCGCTTCTCCTTCACTTCTTCCCACTTGTGATATGTTTTGATAACCTTGTGGTCTATAAATAAATATAAGGCAATGTCAAAAGAAAATTTTTTGCCACATCAGCCACAGTTCTCCAATCCGCACTAATAGGATGGACATTTATGTATTTGTGCTTGGAGTAAAAAAAAAACGGATTCTCTTCATAAAATAATGGGGGGATACCCAAACAAATTTTGTTACTAATGGGGGAGAGATAAATTTTCATTGCTTTAATTATGGGGAGGATAATAAAAAAAATACTAGAAAAAGGAAATATTAACGGAAAATATAATGAAATTAAATAAATATATATAAACTACTCCATGATGATGCAAAATAGTGAAATATATAAATCTAAACCTGAATCATCTGCGTCTTTTTAAAAAAAAATTGTAAACTCTTTTTTATTTAGAATTTATCAGTTTTACTCCTTCTATCGACAGTTCGACTATTTGACGGCCAAAGGGGCAATGTTCATCGGCCATAAGAAAATCAAAGTGATGAATAAAACACTGATATTGTTAGTTTGTTGAAAGACGACATTAACATATATTTATATGATACAAAAGGTATGCCGGCCAAAGGGGCCGGACACCAGCTAGTATGTTTTAATGAACTTGTGGTATGCCTTCATAAAAAAAAAGAACTTGTGGTATGCTTTTAGAAATCTGTAGTATGTTTCCCCTCTCCCCCTTTCCCATTGTGATATGCTTTGATAAACTTGTAATATGTTTTAATGAACTTATAGCGTGCTTTGATAAACTTGTATCATGCTTTAATGAAGGTGTGGTATGTCCTTAGGAACTTCTAGTATGTTTCCTCTTTCCCCTTCCCACTTGTGGTGTACTTTGATGAACTTGTGATATGCTATAATAAAATGTCGTATACTTTGATAAAATTGTGGTATGTTTGTCATTTCTCTTCCCCCTCCCACTTCTAACTTGTGGTATGCGTTGATAAACTTGTAGTATGTTTAATGAAATTGTGATATATTTTGATAAACTTATGATATGTTTTATCTTCTCATTCCCTCCCCCCTTCCCACTTGTGATTTGTTTGCTAAATTTGTGATATGTTTAATTAACTTGTGGTATGATTTGTTAAATTTGTGGTATGTTTTAATGAACATGTGATATGCTTTTAGAAACTAAATTTAGTAAATCTTAATACTTCGTGTCTAATTTTTTTTACAAGTAAGTTATGAAAATATGGGGATTGCTATTCGTCGCCCTAAATATTCTTATTCGTCGCCCTAATTATATTAAATTTACTCTAATGCCCACAATTATCCTTCAAATTAATGGGGACGAGAGGGTTTAAGCTGCCATCGGCCAAAAGAATAATCGTCGTCCATTACCAGAAAGCGGAAGCAGAGGCGGAGCCTTATTCCTTTCATCTGCTCGTCAAACACTAAATAAATCACAATATTTATTAAAAAAAAAAAGAAACCGGTTCAAAATCGCCTACACACCAACGTCGGCTATCGCCAGGAGGAAGCCAACCAAAAAGAAAAAATTGTTTTTGCTGTGCTGCGTCTTCTTCTTCCTTTTGGCGGCGGATCAAGGGTTCGCCGTCCTCCTGGTCAACAACAACGACAAATAGCAACGGCGGCGGGAAGCGACTCTAGTGGCAGCAGCGGTGACGGGAGCAGTGATTGGGTCGGCGGCAGAGAGCAGTTTTGGGCGAACGGCGGCTTTGGGGTTGGGGACGATGGTTTAGGTTTGAAGTTAGGGGTATATGTGTCAATTTAGTATGGTTTAGGGCGATTTTTTTTAATTTTAGGGCGACAAATAGCGATTCAGGAAAATATTCATGAAAATTATGTTTTAGTACCTATTTTTCCTTACATTTTGATATATAAAATTTAAAAAATTTAAAATAGCTCCTATATTATGTTATGCTTTAAGAAACTTGTGATATGATTCATAGGATTTGGTATGCTTTAATAAATTTGTAGTGTGCTCTATGAGAATTGTGGTATGCTTACTGGTGTGTTTCATAAGATTTGTTTGCTTCATGAATTTGTGGAGTGGTTGTTATTTTGTGGTGTGGTTAGATTGTGGGGTCATTTCTAATGTTTGTGATATGTGTTTGGTAGCCACCCACCCATTTCTCCAATTAATACAGCCCTTCCCCAAATTATTAACACACGTGAGTTTCCCTTTCACAATTCTTAATTAATGACCACCATCCTCGTTCGTATCCTTCCCTCATATTAATTGTAATCAACTCTTTCAAATTAAAAAAGTTATCTAAACGAAATGTTTCTATTGATTCGAACTAGTATTAGCATCATCCTAAAAAAATGGAATTGCCCTAACCTTTTCCTATTAACATGATCACAACAACACTTGCAATGTTATCGTGATACCTTTTCCCCCTAATCACTCTGTAATTAAAATCTCCATCTTATAGCTAAAACAGTTTGGTTGATAATTAATGAAAGGAGCTAGAGTAAGAGTTAATTAGTCTCACCAAGAACAAGTATTTGATGCATAATGGATCCATTGTAGCAGCAGCCTCCTCGTGCTTGTTGTCATGATGATCAAGATCTCCCATGGCGAGAAGCGTGTCGAGCATGTCGTTGGTCGAGACATAGCTCTCCGACTTCAAATTTCGCAGCCGTTGGTCGATCACCCATTCGAACCAATTCAACATCTTCCTTGCATGACCCTCCGCCCGCCTTTGTATCCCTTGCAGGTCCAACCTCGCCACAACGGGGAAATAGTCTCCCAAATTGGGCTACCCAATCTCTCCCAGCAGCTCCCTCACCAGATCCTTGAACTCCCTCGCGGTCCCCGATGACTTCTCCTCCTCCTCCACGTCCGCCAGATCCATCGAAAGAATGGTGGACGACAGAGCATTCAAACTGGCCTTGAACGCTGCCTTCCCAACATCCAACGCCACTCCGGGCCTTTCGGCGGCATGACGCCGGATACCTTCGAGGAGGTCCAGAACCTTCACCCTCCTGTGGTCCTGATTCATGTCTAGCTTCTGGGTCGTAAAGATGTACGAGTTGCACAGTTTCCTGAGGTTCCTCCACCTGGGGCCCACGGGAAGCGCCGGGATGGCGAATTTGTGGATGTCGAGGACTTGGGCGGCGGCAGGGACGTGGCGGTCGGAGAGGACCTTGTCGTGCTTTTGGAGAATCTCCCTGGCAGTGTCTGGGGACGAAGCGACGACGGTGGTGACACGGCCCAGCTGGAGGCTCATCAAGGGCCCGTGGATCTTGGCGAGCTGGGCTAGTGATTGATGAGGCTTGTTGCCCAGCATGTGGAGGTTGCCGATTATTGGAAGCCGGAAGGGGCCCGGCGGGAGTTTGGCTGCCGGAGGGTTTCTTGTCAGGAATCGGAGGAAGGTGAGGGTCAAGATGAGGCAGCTGAGGAGGAGGAAGAAGTCCATTGTGAAAAAGAGAGGGAAGCTGTCTGGCTAGATTGGGTTCTGATCAAAGTCTATATTATTATTAAAACTTATTAAGTATGCAGATTATTTATAGGGATATAGTGTGGCGAATTGTTTCTTTATTTATTGAAACTTGCCTGCATCTGCATGTATAAGTATAATAAGGTTATATTATTCGATAAGGAACAAAATGAATTCTTTTGTGGGATGACGTTTCTATTATTATTTTTGGGTTCTAAGTTTCTAATTAACTTTATACTATTCTTCGTCCTTGTATAATGTATGGAATATTTACACACTCGACTCTTAATACGACTTGACAAATGGATGTAGACCTGGTAATCGGATCGGGTTGGGGATTCCGGTTACCGGTCGGGTCATGTTTGGTTGGTTATCAATATTTGGGTCAAATATTGATCCAATCCATTTGGTATCGAGTCGGGTTATGAGCGCTCTCAGAAACATGTATTGGCCTCTAAAAGAAACAAATACAAATAATAATCGTGTACACGATAGTAGTAATAATCGAACTATCATTTACCGCATTCATCATTGTGTACCACCAGTTACCACCACTTATACCAGAATGATATGGAGTAATATATTTAGGTCTTGTACTTTTTTAAGAAATTTGTAGATGCAATAGATCACGATGCACTCGTTCCATTTCTGCAAAATATTTCATAATTTGAGTGAAAAAGAACGTGGTATTAGGTGGTACCAAGGTGGTATATGAGTGGTATGAAAATTATTTTTTCAAAATATATTGAAAATGGATCTCATTTTGTGAATTGCAACGAACTCGTTACATCTGTGCAAAAAAATTGAAATCCAAGTTAGAACGAAGAAGATAAGAGCCAATTAAGAAAATTAGGGAAAATAAAAAACTATTTATTCTCACCCTTTAGATCTAGACTTTTCTGGCAACACTCAAAACTAACGGTCCTTATTCGGTTATGCAGGAGTGCATAACTAAGACCATGTTTACTTTGATTTTCGTTTTTTGTGATTTTGGCAACAGAAAACGAAACTTTATGGAATTAGGGAAGCTACCATTTCCTAAGAAATGAAACCTGAAACGTGAAAATAAAATCCTGTTTAGCTAAAAATTTGGTTGAGTTCCGAAACTGAAACCTTACTTTTGGTAGATTGTTTGATAACAAAGTAAGGAATAGTTTAATGATCTAACTTATAAATGATAAAGTCAAAGTGTGAAATATAAAAAGGACTGGGACTCATGGAAGCGCTCTGTAAGAATTCCTCTGTCCTGATGGCTTCAGCATCGAGCTCTGTCCCGCTGGGGCGGCTGCCGGACAATAATCGGATCGCACCAGTCTTTGGCTTTCCTTTAGGCAACCATGCTTCTCCAGTCACGGAGAATCAGAGGAGTGTCACTACAGAGATGCAGGTCGGCATCGAGCTCACAAACATGACAAGTCCTGGTTTGGAAGTTGTGTCGCTAGCAAAGGGGAACGACCGAGGGACTACGTACGGTGGGTAACGAAAGTGGTTCAGTGATCCCTCTCAGCAAGGACCGTCTTGCTATTCCAGTGGCATCCTATGTTACTGTCCTAACCAGAAAGGGACCCCAAACGAGTTCTTCTGAAACGCAATGGGTTCCGGTTGGGGGGCATGATATCATTTCGGGATCTTTAACGAGGAACCAGAATTGAATATCTCAGAAGTCTTCAAAGCGAAGCTCAGTGCACCATGGCAACGGACGCTGGTGGTTAGACTTCTTGGTAAATCCATTGGATATAGGACTCTCTATAATCGCTTGAGGGAACTATGGCGACCTTCTAGACATATGGAGGTGTTTGCGATGGATAGAGATTATTTTTTGGTAAAGCTTAGTAACAAACAAGATTAGTTCAAAGGCCTATCCGACGGGCCATGGGTGATCTTCGATCACTATCTTGTTGTTCAACAATGGACACCGATGTTCAGATTCTCCGATAAGATTCCTAATACTATGGTTGTTTGGGCTCAACTTCCTGGTTTCTCGGTGCACTTATATCATAAAAATTTACTCTTCTCTTTGGGTAATCTCATTGGGAGGACCATAAAGCTCTATTTCCACACCTTGCATTAGTAGCGTGCGAGGTTCGCTAGAATTGCAGTCGAGGTTGATATATCGCAGCCGCTAGTTCCAAGAATTCGCCTCGATGGGAAATGGAAAAGAGTAGAGTTTGAGAACCTTCCGATCGTGTGCTTCGAGTGTGGGAAGATTGGACATAATAAGAACAATTGTCCGGTGCTCTGCCTGAAGCATACCAATACAGTCACGGCAGAGTTCTCCCCAATGTCGATGAATTACGCTGCCGAGGTGTCGCCGGAGGCTAGCTTCGGCTTTGGTCCATGGATGCTGGTGACGAGGAAATCACACAGAAATCAGCGGCAGTTACCTAAACAGGTGAAGCCGGATCATGCGCTTGAGGCAACTAAAGTGATTTTAGTCGTGCCAGAAGGGAAATATGATTTGACAAGGAAAGAAATTGATAAGTTTCCAAGTCAGCCTGTGCCTAGGAATCACTAACGGCAACAAAATCCTTGGGCTCAATCTTAGGCTAAACAAAAGGAAAAGGAGAACATGATTGAGCAAGGGGTAAAAAAAGGGAAGGCGCTAGCCGTTGCTATCTCTAATGCAGAGAAAAGCTCGGGGATTCTGGGTTGGGCTCCTACTTCGGCAAGCCCAAATATCAAGAGATTCAACCATGCTAAATTCAATGAAGCCTCTTCGTCTCACTCAAAGGATGTTGGGCCTGAGCCTATCCACCCGTTAGAGGCCTAGACCCAGATGTTTAGAGGAGAGAATGGGACAAAGATGATGGTTATTGAGGCCCATCCCTATGGCCCTCCGACGACGAGAGTCGTCGACCCGGATACCCCCTCGGCGGTTTCTCGAACGAAGCACAAGAAGGGAAGGAAGAAAGGAGATCAGGGAAAGAGGGAGACAATCCCAAAGAAGGGCACTCGAATTCCTCACAATCCTTTGAGGCCGCTTCAAATCTGGTCTCCCGTCAATGATAAGAGGAATAAGAGCAAGGAAAGGAAAGTTTCCCTCACCCTCCAACAGATAAAAGAATGGACTGGGATGCCCATAGAGAGAGGGAGCAACAATGCAAGGTTGGAATCTCTTCTCCCAATGGAGGAGAGCGGACCACTTCACACCGAGGCTTAAGGTTGTCGTGCCAGCCGCATCTTCTTCTTTCCTTTCTCTTGTTTCGTTTTTCTTATGCCGATGTCTACGTTTTCTGGTTTTAAAATTTTGCCTGGAATGTTGGCGGGGCTTGTGTCGAGCTTTCTCTCGCTCTCTTAAGCTTGCCCTCCAGATCCATAAACCTAATATAGTGATTTTGATTGAACAGCAGGTGAGTGGCGATGTTGCAAATGCTGATGTGATAGATTGGGTTTCCAAGACGTCATCCGGGTTGAAGCTAATGGAAGGAGTGGTGGAATTTGGGTGTTTTGGGATTCTCAGTCCCTCTCTTTACAAGTCGAATTCGCAGGTCAACAACATATCACCCTCATTGTTGGCAAAACCAGAATGTCGCCCTGGAAACTTACTACAGTCTATGCTTCGCCACGACAGCAACTTCAACACTTTCTTTGGGAGCATTTGATTGACCAGAGCAAGAGCACAAACTGTCCTTGGCTTCTTACGGGAGACTTCAATGCTATTCTCAGCCCGGAGGAGAAGGCTGGCCTTGCCTCCACCAAAACTCTCAGGAGCTGCAAGCGATTCAGGGATTGGACCAATGATGCAGAGCTCATAGATTTAGGCTACTCGGGTTCGAAGTTTACTTGGACTAGGGGGACCGAGCCAGCCTCTTACAAAGCCAGTAGACTTTATAGAAGTCTCTGCAACCCAGAGTGGAATGAAGTCTTCCCCGATACCTCGGTGACCCACCTTGCCCGTCTGAATTCTGATAATCATCCTATCCAAACCACTATGACGAACCAGGGAGTACCGAACTCATCTCCTAAACGTTTTAGATTTGAAGCAGCTTGGCTCACCCACTCTAATTTATTTTCCTTTATTGATAGCTAGTGGGAAGCTTAGTTTGCTTTTCCTATTGCTCTACAGGAGCTCGGGGGGAAGCTTAAGGAGTGGAACTTGACGGTTTTTGGGAATGTTTTCTAGAGAAAGAAGAGGTTGGTTGCGCAAAATATCTGGGATCGAACAATAGCAGGCAATCTCCTTTTCACCCGGTGTTTCAAAATTACACTCTAAACTCGAGGCGGAGCTTGATAAGACGATGGAGCAGGAAGAGCTCATTTGGTTTCAAAGAGCTCGGGAGAATTGGGTCAAATTCGGAGAGAGGAATACAACTTATTTTCACCAGCTCACCAATATTCGAAGATGCAGGCATAAGATTAAAGCTCTGAAGGACGAGAATGGGGTTTGGATTACCGAGAAGGAGGAGCTAGATGGGCTTGTCTTTAATTATTATTCAAATCTGTACCTGCATGATAATTCACCTTATTCCGATCTCCTTCCGAAGGGTGGGTTTCCTCGGTTCAGGCAAGAAGAATGGATCCACCTCCTCATGCCATTCACGATAATGGATATCCATAAGGCAGTGTTTGATATGAAGCTTTTTCAAGCTCTGAGACCTGATGGCTTTCAGGCAGTCTTTTATCAACAAGCCTGGAAGGTGGTTGGAAAGGCCTTATCTAATATGGCGATCTCCTTTTTCGAGAATGGAACTCTGCCTCCTGCGGTCTCGGAATCCACTGTTGTTTTAATTCCCAAGGTTGAGGAACCGAAGTCAATCACACAACTTCAACCCATCTCTTAGAACAATGTCAGCCTGAAGACCATAACCAAAGCAATGGTGAGCCGTCTCAAAGTAGTGATGAAAAGGCTGGTCTCGTTAATGCAGCTTCATTCCAGGACGACAGACGATGGATAATATTATAGTGGTACAGGAGGTCATTCATTCCCTTAGAAAGAAAAAATGCCATAAAGGAGGGATGATAGTGAAGATCGATCTGGAAAAGGCCTGCGACTAGCTGCGACGGGAGTTCCTGAGAGACACTCTGGTCGAGGTTGGACTCCCGAGCTCTTGGATAAGATGTATTATGTATTGTGTTGAGCAGAACCATATGCACATCGTTTGGAACGGGGAGCTTCTCCAGCCTATGATACCCACTTGCAGAGTCAGACAGGGAGATCCTCTTTCCCCTTATTTATTTGTGTTGTGTATGGAACGTCTCTCTCACAGGATTGATAAGGCTGTCCGAGACAAGATATGGAACCCCATTAGCTTATCGAAGGATGGCCCGACATTAACTCATCTCTTTTTTGCTGATGATATGATTTTTTTTTGCAGAGGCTAAGGTTTCCCAGGTCAGGATTATGAAGCAATGCTTGGATGAGTTTTGTGATAACTCCGGATAGCGGGTCAACTTCGCAAAGTTTATCATCTATGTGTCCCCAAACATTTGCCAAGCAAGAGCTCATTGTTGAAGTAACTAGGTAGGCATCCCTCTTCCAGCCATCCTTGGAAAGTACTTAGGCATTCAGACAATCCACAACAGAGTGTCCGGGAGAAGATATCAAGGTCTCTTGCTGCAGATTAAGAAGAAGCTCGCGCCATGGAAGGCTATGAGGCTTTCGCTTTCTGCACGGATGACAGTCACCAGATCAGTATCTCTCTCTATTCCTACCTACCCTATGCAAACTGAGTTGCTGCTTGTTAATGTCTACAATGCTATAGATAAAGTCAACAGGGATTTTATCTGGAGAAGGGACGAGGAAAAAGGGAAGATTCATCTGGTGGCATGGGATAAGCTTGCTGAACCAAGAGCTCAAGGTGGAGGCGGTCTTCGTTCAACCCGACATGCTAATATGGCTCTTCTTGCTAAAGGGGGATGGAGGATGCTCAAGGAAAAGGAATGTCTTTGGACGCAGGTCATCAGAGCGAAGTACAGGAAGCAACAGGAAGGTCTGGATATCCTTCGGTCAGTAAAGGGAAGTTATTTCACTTGGAAGAGCTTTACAAAGGCTTCCACCCTTTTACAGAAGGATTGTGCATGAATATTCACAATGGGAGAGGCACTAAATTTTGGCGTGATCTCTGGTTGTTGCAGGAACCTCTGATCGAGGTGGCGTCTCAACCAATTCCGAAGGAGATGATGGACGACCCCGTTGCAGCCTACCTGGACGGGATGGCCTATGGGACATCGACCGATTGGAGGACTGGCTTCCACATGAAGTGGTCCAAAAGATCACGACCAGTTTTGCATATCCTTTCACACAGGAAGAGGACACCCTTTTCAGGAAGGCCTCCTCAACAGGACACTTTACGACCAATACAGCGTATTAGTTGGTCTATCCAGCGAGGAATGATTCTAATGAGAAGATGTGGAAGACTATCTGGAAGCTCCAGGTTGCAGAGAGGATCAGATGCTTCACTTGGCTTGTGGCGTACGGGCGGATTGCCACTAATGTTCTTCGCTTCTCCAGGAGATGCGCAGCCTCCCCCATGTGTCAGAGGTGTGGGAATGTCCAAGAATCTATTACTCATCTCCTGCGAGACTGCTATCCCGCTCGATTCTGCTGGTTGAGATGGAATCCTCAAGCCGATCAGCGGAGTTTCTACCCGAGGAGCCAGGAAGAGTTGTTCCAAGAAAACATTCTCAAGGACGACATGATGGAGTCTAGTATGTAGTGGAATGCTTTCTTTAGTACTGCTATTTGGCTGATTTGGAAGAACAAGTGCACAGGTTGTTTCAAAGGTCTGCATACAGCGTTTTCCGCTCCTTCCTTAGCGCACTCCATCCAGCAGAAGGCTGTCATTTGGCACAAATCTTAGCAGGCGCCTACTATTACCTTGGGCAAGTAGGGTTCCATGCCGGAGAGATCGATGGTGCAGATTCATTGGTGCTTTACTCTCAGCGAGTGGCTTAAGCTGAATGTGGATGGAGCCTCGGCGGGCAATCCGGGGACTCGCAGGTGCTGGTGGCATCATCTGGGATGAGTGTGGTAAGTGGGCTGCGGACTTCGTTTCCAAGATTGGGAACGCTTCGGCAGCCCTTGCCGAGCTTTGGGCTATCTTTTATGGGCTTCATCTTGCCCGAAAAGTGGGGTGCGCGTACTTTATTGTTGAGTCAGACTCTCAATTGGCCATCAGCTTGATCAATGGTCGTCATGATCTGGGGCACCCCTATGCTTCGCTCCAGGCATCGATCCGGAGGTTTAGCTCAGGATTGGTTGGTTTGCATGGATCATGTTTACCGGGAAGGGAATATAGTCGCGGACTGGCTCTCGAAGCACAGTCTCGTCTATCCTCCTGGTATGCATGAACTTTTCGAACCTCCTCCTGCTTTGGTTCCCATTCTTAGAGAGGATAGTATGGGCATCTCCCTTGAGCGTCAGATTGTGACACAACCTCCTTCTCTTTTGTAATCTCCTCCTTCTGTTTGGCCTCGGCCTCCTTCAAATGCATATATATATATACAAATGGTGTTTTCTACGGTACCCCGAGTGAAATCTAGGGTACCGCATACCTTAAGTAAGAAAACGCTATTTAGACCTCGAATTAGGAGGATTTTTGTGCATGATACTATACCCTAACCCTTAATGAGTGAACCCTAGGTCCTCATTCTCTGCATCATGAACTATAAACCCTAAGATGGTGCATTGATTTTTCCCCCTATATTTGGACGAATCATAACCATTGATTATTGTTTCTAATTAAATTTATCTCGAGGTATAAGATTTAGAGAATTAAGACCTAGATTTTGATCTTTAAGGGTTAGACTATAGTATCATGTCCGAATGATCAGTCAATTCAAGTTCTGGATAGCATTTTCTTACTCAAGGTATGCGGTACCCCGGATTTCACCCTGGGTACCGTAGAACTCCCCATATATATATATGAGAAAGGAAATTTATTTTATTAAAGAAGATATCGTATAGATATACATTTTTAGTGACTTTTTGAAATCTCGTCTAACCTATTATTTAATATAAATGAATTCCATAAGTTCTTAGTATTCATTTTGAAATGACATTTTTTTGTTTGAAATACAAATGAATTAATTTTCGATGATTAATTTTGAATAAGCTCAGCAATGGTAACAATGTTACTTTTTGAACTCCACGTCATCATGTCATATAGTTGCCGGTTGGTGCATGCTTTCAATGATTGATTTTGAATACACATAATGTTCTCGGTAATTCATTTTGAACCGAATTGTTATTACTAAAAAATAATTATTAATTTATTTGGTTTCCGATAATCTACAAGGTGAAAATGAAATCTAATGAAAAGAGAAAATTCATGTAAAAAAGAAAATTTAAAGTATTAAAAACTAATTGTATGTATTGTTATTCCAATATTTTACCTCATCGATAAGAAAATTTTTTTCATTAAAAAATAGGAGGCAGATGTGGAAACGGGTGAAATCCATATTTTGTAGTTTTTGGAAACAGCAAGAAGTTATCACTTTCTGTTTCTAGAGTTGGAAACGAACAGAAAATGAAAGTAAACATATTTTCTTATTTCCGTTGCCAAATTTATGAAATAAAAACAGAAAATCGAAAACGAAAATAAAAGTGAACAGGCGTTAAGGGTTATGCACCCTAGTTTGGCGTGCCATGATCCTTATAAAAATTTAATGACTTGTATAAAACATGAAAAATTCGTGCAGGCTTGACGCCTGTTTAAACTACTACGGAAACAATTCTATGAAAATTTATCGGTCATAAATTCAATTAGGGTATGACCAATAAATTTGAAGGTCGTGACGCATTAATAGCTTATTACAAGCGGTAATTTAGGGCTATAACTAATATTCAAAAAAATTTAGGGCTATAACTATGACACAATTATTGTAAAAAAAAAATACTATGACACAAGAGAAATTTTACAATGCTATATAGTATTTGTTCTATAGGTTTTTGTCTTTATGGTACAACTTAAAATTGTACATTTACGTTATGGCACAACTTCAGATTGTACCTATACTTTTTGTACAAATTCTTTTATTGTACAACTTGAACTTGTACATTTATGTGATGGTACAACTTCAAGTTATTAAGTTGTACCATAACATAATTGTACAAATTACTTTATGGTACAACCTAAACTTATACATCTAATTTAATTTAATTTAATTTAATGTTATGTTACATACGGGACAAATTGTTGTAGTCGAAAGAGACATTTTGCTCCTTTTGTGTTTGCGGGAGGCCTCTGCTCATGTTTCCCTTTTCTGTTTTTTCCCATCTTTATTTCTTTTCTAATTAAGACGAAAAATGAGCTCTCCGTTTCTCTCCACCCCCGCTGATCTCTTCTGCGTTGGACCAGCCTGACCGTCCGGTTTGGAATGATTTGGCATCGCCGGCAAAAATTAAAAGGGTAGAAGTCGGAAAGAGTTTCCTGCACCGGTTACTCCTTTCCCTTGGAAAACGGCATCAGCATATGCCTAAAATGACAACATGTCCCGTCTCAGAATAAGAAGCAAATCCAGCACCGGCCATATAAAAAGGAATGGCATTGATTGATCATTAAAATTCAATATACACACAGATGGCTCTAATTGATAAGTAAGAGAATCATAGTTAAATTCAAATTTATCAATTCAATTAATGTATAGTTTATATTATATTGCGGTGCAGTCCAAACTGTACCAAATTACATATCTAGGCAGTTTGGTTTGACCACATCAATTAAATTGCGGTGCGGTACAGTTTGTGTTGATGTTGCAAAGGCTAGCACACACATACACACATATATATAATTCAGCCTAACGTACGTCAGAGCATATGCTATATGCCCGCGTTCAAACTTATTATATGTACTTTTATATATTTTGATAAATTAGAACCGTTGATTATTATTTTATTAAAATTAAATAAATTTTATGGTTCGGGTTAGAGAATTAGGGACTGTGGTTCACCCATTAGAGGCTAGAGAATTATGATCTTCAAGGGCAATTTGTATCTGTTAGTAGACAGACATTTCATATAGGAAGCAGTAGAAGGGGTGAGCGGCCAATTCCTCTAGCATTTAATCGATGAATGATAGAGGTAAGTGATCCTTTCTTGTAGCATCATTCGGTTTATGATAGTCAATCCACACCCTCCATCCCATTGCAGTTCCCGTAGGAATAAGATCTCCATTTTCATTGTGAATGATGGTCATTCCTCCCTTCTTTGGCACCACTTGTGTATAGTTGGCACATTTGTTGTCCAAAATGGGGTATATGATTCCTGCTTGTAATAGTTTCATCACCTCCTTCTTCACGACCTCTATGAGGGGATTCAAACATTGTTGTGGTTGAACTAGTGGTTTATGATTGTCCTTGTGCGTACAGAACGATGGATCAATCCATTGAATGTTGGTGATTGTCCAGGCTATAACCTTCTTGTGATTTTTTAGTAGTTCTACTAGTTTCTCATTCTGCTCCTTAGATAGTGTTGAATTGATGATGACGGGCAACTTCTATCCATCAGCTAGGAATGCATATTATAGATTCCTAGTAATGCCTTTAGATAGTGTTGAATTGATGATGACGGGCAACTTCTATCCATCAGCTAGGAATGCATATTATAGATTCCTAGTAATGCCTTTAACTCCAGCTCAAGTGGCTCCTCGTAGGATGTCTTGAATTCCGCTAGACAAGTAGTCTCTATCATGGGTGTTTCTGGTTCATCCTCTCCTCTTGATCTACCTCTTCGTGTTGGGATTGATCCAGCTCATGGAAGTATTCTCATTCCCCTTATAGTAGGCAGGGCCCTAATATATGGTCAGTCTTTATATCAACAATGGAGAACATTGGTTCAGTTCATCTAATCCTCAGAATTTTTCCTCGTCCCATGTTGAGTAGTCGTGCTTGTGTTTTTTCCTCCGATCAAAAGTGGCAGCTTCGGTTCCTATTCTCAATGTAAGCTTCTAGTTGTGCACATCTATCAGAGCTCTTGCAGTTGCCTTGAAAGGTATATGATGACACTTTATTTATTGTGTTTGTCACTTTCTTTCTTGATATATTTTCCCCTTCTATCATAGAATCTTTGGTTGTTTCAATAGTATTTCATATCTAAATCACAACTACTTGATCAATGAGCATTTAATAGACCTAGACTACGTTCTTGTACTCTTTTATGCCTTTTGTGATGCGAGCCCAATGACGGCTCCAACGGGGGCAAAGATGAAGACAAGAAGGCAAGGAGCTGCCGACATGATGCAAGATGGATTACATCACAAGATGTCCATCGAGTTTGAAGAACATACAACGATCGTGGTCCAAAGATGAAGGCTTTAAAGGCTTCAGAAGGCATTCAAGGAGCTACTTCAAGCTTATTTAGCCCAAAACTTCACAAATATGGAAGCCGACTTGTTCGTGGGACGAGAAGTGATGATCATTGGTGTTGGGCCTATTTTAGGCCAAAAACCCGGCCATGTCTCATGGCCGTGACTTCTGCTCGTGAGATTAGTGAAGCGGGTGTTCAAAAGATAGTTAATCTCACGGCCATGAGATCGGGACTGGTTTTACTCCAAATTTCGGGTTTTCTTGTTCTTGTTAATTTTTTATTTGTCCAGACCTATATAAAGGCTGAGATTATGTTTTCAAGGTTAGTTTTTAGCAAAATATTGATTTTTACCTTGGCTTTGAGCCTGAGGCTTGATCTTTTCTTTGTATCAAACAAGTTTTCCCCTTGATTGTGGTCGAGATCCTACCTTTCTATATTGATTGAGCCTTCTCCCGATATCGTGTGAGATTGCACTTTCAATCCCATCCCATCCCTATCATTTTATCCCTGTTCTTTGCTGCGTAAATTTGATAACTACGGGTACATGATCTGTGCTCGTATCAGGTGGTATTAGAGTCTGGTTCAACACAGTGGCGGGATCGAAAGCTAGAAGACCTGTTACTTGTCGAACGAGGTCCAAATACCCTATTGCAGAATGTAGAGAAGAAGAAGAATCACCCTCTGAAGAAGAAACCCCAATCGAAGAACAAGGCCTGGGAGAGCAGAGTCAGGATCTTGCAGAAGCTATGAAACTACTTGATGCGCAAATGGCACAGATGGGAGCTTTGCTTCAGGCCCAACAGGACGCTACCAAAGGTCAGCTGGTGGAGATGAATCAGCGGCTGGATACCCTAATCACCAGGTTGGGAACTCAAACAATGGGTAATCCACCACCACCTGAGAATCCAGCAGATGTCGCAACTCAGAATGGAGCCGCAGACCGAGTGTACCAAGATTTTCCCGATACCCTAGATTGGCTCTTGCAGAGGCACCAATACACGGAGCAATGTCATTAGGTAATCCCACAGTACAGACCTTCATTTAACGAGTATGAGAATGTTTATAATGAGTATGGAGGAAGATCACCAGGAACACGAGGTTATGGCGGTGAATAGATTTGAGGGATTAAGCTCTCAATCCCATCGTTTCAATGAGCTCATAGTGGTTTAGCTTCTTCCAGTGCAATCCTTACCCAGAGCATCATAAAGTACTTATGGCCACCTATGAGTTTACAGATTATGCAGCAGCTTGGTGGGAACAGGTTCAGCTTCGAAGAAGAAGAAGAAGAATACATTTGCAGCCTAAAGTTTCTACTTGGGAAGAACTTCGAGGCTTGATGCGTGACCGATTTGTGTCACCTTGATTCCTTACATGGCATTCGGCAAGGGGCACGCTCTATTGATGAGTACTTCAAATAGCTGGAACTGCTCTTGATGAGGGCAGATGTGAGGGAAGACAAGGAAGCAACGATTTCTCGCTTTCTACATGGGCTTAACAGAGAAATCAAGAATGAAGTAGAGCTTCGTCAGTTTATAGAGTTGGAGTAAGCGGTGCATTTGGCCATGAAGGTGGAGAGACAGCTGAAGGTGAGCACGAGAAGGAGGTACCCACCTTCACCCAAGCCTGTTGAGAGAACACTCCTAAGGCTATCACTAGTCATCCTAAGCAAGAAGGAGACAAGCCAGCTACCAGGAATACAACACCGATCATTCAAGCCAGGAATGAAGGTTCATCGAGAAGCATCCAATCTTTCAAGTGCTTGGGGCGAGGTCACAAGGCCAACCAATGCCCCAACAAAAAGGCTTTTGTCTTGCGAGACGGAGAGTACTTTTCTGAGGAGGAGTATGAAGAGAATCCCATGGGGAATGGATTTGGTTCTGATGCTAATTCTAAAGATGATGATGTGGATGAGCACATCAAGGCCGGGAAACCTCCAACAGGATATATTGTTAATGTTGTCTCTTGCAGGACCTAACTAAGCAGGTCCTCGTTAATGTTCATTGGACTCAGCCATATGCGGCAGAGAAATGAAGCCGGATAATGGAGAAATGAGATCATAGATTTGATGATGCAAGTAAAATAGAGGCGAGGATCAAGCTGAACAAAGATCGTTCATAAAGTGCGATAACACAGAGCTGATTCAGGAGGGAAGCAAGAATAGCAAATCACCGTCAGATTGATGACAAAAAAGAGCTTTGAGGGCAAAGCTTCTCCAACGGGGAGGGACTGATGCGAGCCCAATGGTGGCTCCAACGAGGGCAAAGATGAAGACAAAAAGGCAAGGAGCGAGCGGCATTGATGCAAGCCGGATCACCTCACAAGATGTCCATTGAGTTCGAAGAACATACAACGATCGTGGTCCAAAGATGAAGACTTTAAAGGCTCGAGAAAGCATTCAAGGGGCGACTTCATGCTTCTTTAGCCCTGAACTTCACCAATATGGAAGCAAACTTGTTCGTTGGACGAGAAGTGATGATCATTGGTGTTGGGGATATTTCAGGCAAAAAACCCGGCCATGTCTCATGGCCGTGACTTCTACCCGTGAGATCAGTGAAGCGGATGTTCAGACGACAATTAATCTCACGGGCGTGAGATCGGGGCGTGAGATCGGGCCGTGTTTTACTCCAAATTTCGGTTTTCCTTGTTTTTGTTATTTTTTAATTGTCCAGCCCATCCCTATCGTTTTATCCATGTTCTTTGCTGCATTACTTTGATAACTACGAGTACAAGATCAGTGCTCGTATCATTTTGGATATGCTTTAGATGGTTTTGAAGATACAAAGCAACTTAAGGATGATTGGATCAAGCATTGGAAAACTCCTAAGAAAGAATAAGCGACGGCCCAACAACGGGTCCAACTGTTGCTACCCAAGGATATGTCAAGATGGGCCCAAATTAAAAGGAGGAGTCATCCAATGTCAGAGGAGCTCAACTCATGAAGAAAAAGAGCGGTGGTTAAAAAGGTCGCCTTGTCATCGGTAAACCCTAATCCTTTTGGGAGAAGTTTACTTAGCACAAAAGGTTTAGGAGACTTCTGGTGGAGACAAAACTGCAAGTTCACAGTGTCGTACAAGTAATAAAGTGTAAGTAAAATTATCGTTCTCTAGGGGATTGGTGAAATTCAATAATTAACAAATTTAGTTCAAGAAACTATAGGAATTGCAAAGGTTGTAATCAAGTGATGATTTGCAAAGATCGCACAAATTAAATAAATCGATAAATCAACTATTTTGGAGAAATTGATATTGGAGAGTTCCGGGGGAAACACAAGATTTTACAATATTACCTCAGTAAATTTAATTACCCTTGTCAATCAATTTAATCCATATTTCTACAGTCGGGATACCTATAATTTGATAGCTATCTCTATCAAGAATTACCACATACTAACTAATTAAGACAATTTCTACTATCGTAGTTAACTGAATTAATTAATTAGCCTTAAGAACGATATCTCTGAAATGACTGCAAAATTCCCTATTTAATCCACTATCTCTTCGATGGGAAATTATGTGATGTGAAATGTGTTCGGTTACTAGGTTTTCACTATCGTTATTAACCTAGAAAACTACAAATCATTGTGAAGGTGGCCAATCAACACAAAGCGTTAAACAATTCCACACGATGATTAAAACGCTGAGGCTAGATAATGAAATCCATAAGTTTCCCCCATAAATTGGGGGATTAGTTCATGATGAAAAGAAAGTATATAAACATGCTAATGTTCAACATGATGACTAACTACCAAAACAAATGAGTAGAGAAAAGACTAAGTGTTGAAGTTAATCCCCAACTTACAAGAGTCTTCCTTTCTTCAAAATGCTCAACTCCAAAGTGTGCCAAAGTGAGCTCTCTCCTTTTATTTTTCTCTCCAAAATCTGTCTCCAAAAAGTGACTCCTAAGCTCCCTAGTTGCTGCCCCTTTTAAATCCATTTTTTGTAGATTTAATCCCACAAAATAAGGCACTTTCAGCTCCCATTTCCAAGAGAAAGCTGTTGCTAGCTTAAGTCTCTTTCTTTGCAATAAATTCTTGCATCATTTTCTCTTTTGGTGAGCCACCAATCCATTATCTCACTTCAAGAAAGCTGATCCAATCCCAAAAATTTCTTAGGGTTGTTTACAGTTGAGTGAAGATTCCAACCAATAATAACTCGATTTGGGTCTTTATCGGTTTGGCGTCCTGCTGGACGTTTTCCACTGCACGTCTGCACTTTGCCACTGCACCTGCATTCGTCCACTGCACTTTGTTTTGTTACAATCTTAGTTTCAATCTGCGTTAAATCGCTACATGTCTTGGTGATGACACTAGGGTCATTCCATGGTCAATATGAACTAATTTAGAGCAATTTAAACACACACATACATACATACATACATAAGGATCAATCATTTATGCACATAATACATGTATGTTTATGAAGCTTATCAACTTCTTAGTTGGTTTAGGATGTTTTAGGTCGGGATTTTCCCCTATAAATAGAGGGAACGACCCATTAGCTTAGGAAGGATGCACAAACATACAAATTCTTTGTACACTCTACGTGGGTGATAGCCTAGCTTTCGTAGGAGAGTCTGCAGCTAAGAAGAATATGTTTATTGTTATGTGAATGAATGCTTTGATTTCATCTCATGCTTGTATTTGTCTATGCAAATCTTGATGTCTATTGCCTATGTGTGGAATTTTTTAGTTTCGATGCTTATGCGATGGTCATTGATGTTTATATATTATAAATGATTCTTTATCATCGAGGCTTGTGATTCTATTGTATGCTACTATATGCATTGTGCTTAGTATTACATAGATTGATAAAAAAAAATTACCTTCTAGTGATACCTCATTGATGCTAAAGGAGTCTAGAGGGAATGGTCAACCATTTATGCCTTGAGTAGTATGAATGCTTGATTGTTAGATCATTGATGCTATAGATTATGATTTGTAGCAGCCCATAATTAAAGATATGTTATCCTAACTTCCTTGTTCTTCACTATTTAGGTGACGGCATGAAGCAAAAGAACACATTACCTAGTTAAATCTCTATCGCAAGAGGTGCATGCTGATGTCGTCGAATGTAGTATGGACCAAATTTACTTGGCCCGAAGTCTAGGATCGTATTTCCCTAGGGTCCCTCGTAGAACATCCTATTATTTTATCACTTGTTTACACATCAAGTTTTTTGCGACATTGTTAGGGATTTCTAATCATAAATAAAATCATATAACCATCTTGTGTCTTTCTTGAGCTTTAAATTTGATTTGTTCTACATAATTTCGCATGAGTCCAATCAGTACTAGAAGAAAAACCAAAAACCTAAAGATCGTGCAAGAGCTAGTTCAAGAAGGAGGAGCATCGAGTTCACCCCTCTTGATGACAAAGGAAGTAGCATCTAGCTCATAAGAAGAAGAGACCTCAATCCCCACCAATTTTTAGAAACACTTGAAAGAGGACAGATTGACGAAGAAAACCTTCAATTCGGAGGAAGAAGAAGCATCTTCAACTTCTTCAACACCAACGATGGCTGGAGATGAAGGACAAATACAAGTAGTCATTCTATCAACTCTCTATGAGTATTCCAGGCCAAGAGCATCCAACAACACCTCAAGTATTGCTCTGTCACCAACGACCATAGAAATCAGAACTCATCTTATCCAAATGGTGCAACAAGTAGGGAGATTTGGAGAAAGGAATGGTAATGGTATAGTATAACATTTGAAGACATTCTTAGAGATCGTCAATTCCATACCAGGAGATGATGCTACCAAAGAAGGAATTTAACTATGACTTTTCTCGTTTTCTCTTAGAGGATGAGAAAACCATTGGCTCGATTACCATCCACCATGTACCTTCACCACATGGTAAACCTTAGCACAAGCATTAATTGAGGAGTACTTTCCACCATGGAAGAAAAAATTTAAACACTGAATTACTCAATTTCAACATAAGGAAGAAGAGACGTTCAATGATGCTTGGAGGAGATTCCAGAAGTATATAAAGGAATTACCCCATCATGGATTCACACTAGAGCAAATTGCAAAGTATGTCGCCAAAGGCCTTGATCAAGACACCACGATGATGGTAAACCATTCGGCTGAAGAAGATTTCACAACAATGACGGGAGTACACTGCTAGGAGCATTTTGCCACACTAGCAAGAAAGTCAAAAAACTGGTCCAAGCGTCTATCAACGATGAAACCATTGAAAGCTGCCCCAAGAAAGGGAGGATAATGTCGCCATCCTCTCTGTATACACGAAAGAGCTAACTCAACAACTAATAAGGAATTCAATGGAACCAAAGAATGGAGTGGTTTCATCCTTGTTAGTTTGTGAAGCATGAGGATAAGAAGGTCATGAAGGATTTGACTGTTATAGCCAAGAAGAGCAAGGACATGCTAATGTCAATTATTATATAAATAAAGGGATAAATTGCAAGTTTGGTTACTAGAATTACATAAAATGTTCACGTTTGTCACTAAAATTAATTTATTCCATCGGTAGTCACTAAGATTAATTTAACAGTTCAAATTTGGTCACTCTCCGTTAATTTTTTCTAACGTGACAGTCAACTCTTAAAGTTGACTGCTATCAATCTAAACCTCAACAAGTGAGCTATCCTACTTATCATGGATTCAACCAAACCACATATCGTATGGTCAATGACCTGCTTAACGAGGGAAGAAGTCCGTGACTATCCCAATATCATCTCTATCAATGCACCCTATGTTCATGAAGAACAATGGCAAAAGAAGTCATGTTTCTATTTTCTCCAAATGCTAGATTCGAAAACCGGATTAATCCGGTCCTATTTAACTGAATTGCACCATTTCCCACCCTGTAGTCATCTAAGAAAAGGAAATGGTTCTAATAAAAATAGACTGACAACCTAAACTCTCTGCCATTGCAATAATGGGCATGAACCACGTAAAGTTCTGGTGACCGTGTAATTGATTTGTTCTTCTTCTTTTTAACAAAAGCTGCAGAGAGATAAGATTTTAATAACCTGGTTCGGCTATTCCTACATCCACAACTACTTAGCAGTTAATAATCCTAAGCCAAAATTAGAAGACACTAATTGAAAAAAGTCATGAACCCTAGAGCCTAACACAAGCACCTTCCCATTGGCTATTACATTTGCAAACTGATCATGGAAAAAATACATACTATCTTGGTCGGTTGGTCCTCGGATGTGTATGATATTTTGGACCTAAGCTGCCAAGAGTTGAGCGGACCAGTAGTCACGAAATCGATCGACTGTTCAATATAAAACCAGTTGGTGACAAATACAAGAGTGAAACATCACATTGCATCCAATGCACCTAAACATTCTCCAAAATGGGACGGCTATATGATCTATCCACATCTGATACAATCACCTATCATGTAACTTGCAGAGCCCAAACACGACAGTTCCATAAATCATAATGAATACAACAGAAGCGGTTCAGAAGCTGACCAAACCTTTCTCCTTCAGACATTCTACGGTGTCCCTAAGGCTCACCTCCAGAGGAGTAAAGTTGACACCCAAGCTCTTGGCCTTTTCTTGGGAGATCTTGCATTGGGGTTGAAATGTCTCATAGTTTTCCCAACTGTCATTCATTAATAAACCAGAATCTTCTCTGAGGAGCATTGTAATCAATCAATAATAATCTTAATAGATCTCGAGTTAAACAATAATACAGAACTTGATTCCAATGTGCTTCCAAGTTCACCAACATACAAACATAGCTTCGCAAGAACTGTCTGTAAAAGAGTGCTCGTACTTACTTTCCAGATAGTGGCAGATTAGGGTAAAGTCCATGCATAATCTTCAAAGCCTCAGTGTAGTGAACCATGCTTCCAACAACGCAGCATCTGCCACTAGCTGATGGGACCTCAAATGCTTGAATATGTGCATTCGCCACATCTCGAACATCGACAAATCTAAAGATATCTGATGGAAATGCTCGATTTCCTGCATTCAAGAAACAGAACTTCTAAATGGGCAACTCTCTTTTTTAACAGTGCAAATATCCTTCGAAAGATTAACAGCTCGGTTATAGGAAAACATTGTTTTTAAAAGTACCACCATCGCTGATCTTTACAGAACAATCTGATGATATCCATCAGGTAGACTGCACTTCACATATAGACTATGATCTCAGGTTCACTCACCGGACAGTGAAGGATACAGCTCAGAGAACCCGAATCAAATATGAAACTCAAGCTACAACACAAACATACAGAGAAATCCATTTTCCTTCAGGAAATACAAATACTAGAATGATAAAAGAATGCACACCATTTATAAGCCTCAGAACCTCCTCCACTGTGAAATTAACAGATGGCTGCAGGAAAGGACCAATTACGAACCCCGGGTTAACCGCAACAAGATCGATCCCGTTCTCGTTAGCAAACTTCCAGGCAGCCTCCTCTGCCAAAGTTTTTGAGAGCATATACCAATGCTTGGGGGGAGAGGAAAGAAGGAAGCGTGAGAGAAGACCAGGAAATAAAACCAGAACTAGAGAACTACTCTGCAAGGAAAAGGCCTGGTGCATACCTGATATTTTGCACAAAATTCTGGATCAGAAAACCAAGTCTCGTCGATCACAACACCAGGGGAAAGAGGTTTCCCATTGCAAACTACTGAAGCCATGGAAGAAGTAAGAACAACTCTCTTGACAGAAGGCATTTTCGCACATGATTTAAGAACATTGAGTGTGCCCTTTACTGCCGGGTCAATCAAGTCGGCCTGAAATAACAAATAACGCAGAAATTAGACCTGCACTTTTAGCATAATGTACACAACAAACAGAGATGCTCATTAGTGCATGTTGGAATCCAATACTCCAAGCAACAACATTTAGTTATGCTTAATCAGAAATTGACACAAATCAAAAGTACAAGAAGGCCAAACCTATCAACCAATGCAGTTGTAGAATCAAGAATTTTCAAGAGCTGGTGAATGCAGAGGTCAACAAACCTGTGGGTTGCTAGTTTGAAAAAGAACAGGGGAAGCAGTATGAAAGACGGCTTGGCATCCATCAACAGCAGAATCGAAAGACCCTTCTGCAGTAAGATCTGCTTTGTACAGTTGAAGCCTCTCATTTGCGCCATCAAGGGAAAGCAAGTGTTGGGTCTTCGTTTGGTCATCTGTGGCATATACCAAGTTTGTTCTTTTTAAAATAAGATAATGAAAAATATATGGAGGAGAGACCTTCCAAGTTCAAGCAGTGGCGGACCCAGGAATTTTTCATAAGGGTGTTCCCTATTAAAAATAAATTTAATAAAAATAAAAATAAAATAATTAATAAAAATAAAATGTAAATAAAAAATACCTTACTCGTACAGGTTTAGTCAATTATGTGTTTTCATATTCTGAAATAATTGTAGAATACACTTGGTGTCTACAATGCTAAAAAAATTGTCTCTATATACCCTACTAGACAATCATTCACGAACTTATCGCATATTCGATTTGTAAACTTGTTCTTGATGTAACCCAAAGCTTAAAGACTCTTTCAACACTTGTCGTACAACGATAAAATCAATATAAATTAAGAGTAGGTTGAAATTAGTTTAATTGCTAGGTTTTGAAAATAATTAGAGATAGAGAATGCAGTGTTCAAAATCGAACAACAAATGAGTTGTAGTTTAATGAAAATTAAGTGTATTAATAATAATAGTGCTCTAGATTTGAATTACCCAACCTACCACTTATATTCCCATACACAAATTTAAAAAATGACAGTAAATTAATCATTTTTTCAAATTTCAGGGGTACCCCCCACTATCAATTATATTTTTTTTATCCATACGTAAATTACTACGATGGGTTGAATAATCGTTCTCGCAAAATTTATGGGTGTCCCGGGACACCCCTAAGTAGGGATGGCAATGGGTCGGGTTTTGTCAAACCCAAACCCATGGTTTATCTTTGAAAAAAACCGGGGTAAAACCCACTGGGTTTAAAAAACTCAAACCCAACCCAACCCGTTGGGTATCCGCTGGTTCACGGGTACCCATAGGGGTGTACATAGGTAGGGTGGTTCAGGTTTAACCATTTTAATCACCCGACCCATACACTACAGTTTGAAAAATATTAAACTTAAACCCACCAAAAAATTTTTAAACCCTACGGTTTGTTTCTAATTGGGTTGGATTGGGTTGGCGATATTTTTAAGTAAAAATCCAACCCAACACAAAATATGTAATTATTCTACAACATAAAAAATATTTTATAAATAACTAAATTTCAAATGAATAAATCGAGGTGAATGGCATCAAATTTCACAAATGTTGTTTCATTTTTAATAAAATGTGATTTACTTCAACATATGTCTAGTTTTTTTCACGATATTTGTTAAAATAGGCTAAAAAGGTTATAAACAAATGCGCCCATAATATGTTATTCTATTAAAATTGTACACAAGAAAAAGGATTATGTGAATCATATATATATTAAATTTATGTATAAACTTTAAACCTAAGAATGCATTAAATTAGGGAGACCATGAGAAAAAAACATGGTGAAATATCTTAATTTTAGCATAAGTATGGTTATATATGACATAAATATTTTTGGATACGAACTCCTACCAATAGTTGGAACACGGGTTGGGTCGGGTTCTACGGGTTGTGTAATCCAAAATCCAAACCCAACCCAATAGAGGCGGGTTGTAGAAAAGAAAACTCTCACCCAACCCGAAACCTTCATTTTAGCGATAAATACGGGTGGGTTGGGTCGTGTTGGACGGGTGGGTCGGTTTACGGGTGTGTTTGTTCACCCCTAGGTACCCACGGGTTTTGTCGTAAAAAATTTACAATTACAAGTTCTTATCAAAATTAAAGCCAAATATCAATCTCTCAATACAAATTATCCATATATAAAACACCATTCTAGAAAATTCATGCAAATCACAAATTAGGTATACAAATTGTTAAACACCAATTTAGAAAACTAAAGAAAATTGAAACAAATCATAAATTATCCATAAATAACATGTTTAATCACGGGTTTTGTCGTAAAAAATTTACAATTACAAGTTCTTATCAAAATTAAAGCCAAATATCAATCTCTCAATACAAATTATTCATATATAAAACACCATTCTAGAAAATTCATGCAAATCACAAATTAGGTATACAAATTGTTAAACACCAATTTAGAAAACTAAAGAAAATTGAAGCAAATCATAAATTATCCATAAATAACATGTTTAATTGAAAGCTTCTTCCTTTCAATTAAGTTTCTTTACTCTCCACTCCATAACATCAACTTCATTCTACACAATTAAAAAGAAAAAATTATACATGTGTCCACAAACATAAATAAGATTAGTTGTTTATAATATTAATTATACCGAAAAAATTAATTATATGGGTGGACGGGTACCCACGGGTCGGGTTTACCTAAACCCAAACCCAACCCAACCCGGTGAATAGTGAACGGGTTTAAATCCAAACCCGGCCCAAAACTCGTCAACACGGATTTTACCCGTATTGACCGGATTGGGTCGGGTGGGTACCCGTAGGTTCGGGTTTTGTTGCCATCCCTACCCTTAAGTCCCGTACGTCCGCCCCTGAGTTCAAGCAAGAGCTCAGAGTAAACATTTTCGTTCTATTCCTTAATTACCTTTTCTTTATTACGCTTACCAAATCACCGGACTACCGGTCAATAGTTAATAAGGATGAACCCTGGGGAAATTTTCAGACATCTTTCACCCTAAAAGAGAGATAGAACAGAAACGCAGGAGAGGGCTACAAACCTGGATCACGAACAGTGGTTTTTACTGTATATCCACGTTCCAGCAAGAGCTTGATGATCCATGAGGCGATGTAACCCGACCCACCCGTCACACACACTACTCCGCATTCGGCGCTCATCTCTCTCTCAACAAGAACAGAAAATTATGTGAAAGAGACCAAGAACTCCGTTTGCAAGTTATCAAACAGACAACTTTCAATCTCAACCACTAAGACAGAGGATTTGTCAAAAGGAAAAGCTTCTGGATAAGAAAACGTACGATTCCAGAGTCCGGACTGAGGAAGACGAAGGGAGTAGGTAAAATGACTGAGCTAGCGAGCTGAAACTAGGTCCACTCAATTTCTCGCGTAAAACTAAATATTTAATGCCAAACAGTACAGAATGTTTAAAGTTTAAACCCAAGACCAGAGTAAATATAATTTATTTATCAATTAAATATTTAAATTTTGACAAAATATTAGTCAAGCATGTCAAGATGATAAGATAAACGAAGCAGGAGTTCGTGAAGGTGAAGCAGAGGATGCAGAGCTGACTGGAACGCGTCATCGTTTTATCAGTAGTGGAGTTAGTTCTATTTTAGCCTTTTGTTTATCACCACGTGTCAAGGTGAATTTGGATTTCTGTTTTATTTTTCGTTATGCACAGTAAAACTGGAAGACTGAGTATAAATGTGAAGCAACCCTGCAACTCGTCGTTTTGCGGGTTTTCGATCAAACCTTTGCCCTCTTGATATTTTCTACATGGTATCAGAGCCCTAGATCTGATTTATGCTGTTGGCGAAAATAGCTGGCGTTTCTTCTCTAGTCATTCCAGTTCACCTATTTCTACTCTTGATAAGTCTGTTCATCTGGAGGATTTTGTTGATGATGTCGATGATGCTCCTGAACTAGAGGCACAAGCAGTGGCGGAGCCAGAAAAATTGCCAAGGGGGTGCTTGTTCATGTAATGAAAAAGTCAATTATACAATTAAAAAATCAACTTTAAACGAAAATATGAAGTCAATAACATAATACCCAAGATTCGTACAATCACATAATAATAGTTCTACACACATCGCCTACAATGAAACTCGACAATTGTATGCACGGTTGGGGAAAAGTTGCAGCTTGCTTGCTACCTCGTGATTCCGTCTCTTCCATTTCCGGAGAAGTAGTTGTTTCTTTCCTCAAATAATATCTTTTTATCTAATTACAAATGAAAAACAATTTCATTATATGAATAATTCCGTCCATGTTCTTAATTTGAAGATGAAATTGAGTATACCAAACACACAAACCTAACCCTAAATTAACACAAATAACAAAACTTCAAGTAATCGAAATTAAAACTTAGATTTTACCTTGTTGATAAGATTGATGATGTGAACCAAAGCAATTTTTATGCTACCGGCTTGTTGCTCCCCTGCCCTACTAACGATTGAAAAGAGAAGGATTGTTGCAGGTGAAAGATGGAGAACTAAATTCTAGAGCCTGTAGATATTTTGGATTTGGAGGATAGGAGAAGGAAATATGGGTGGTAGGTGGAGGTTCGCCGAGCTGGGAGCGGGAGATGGAGAGCTTGGAGGGTGGACTCGCCGCCATTGGAGGATGGAAGCTTGGAGGTCGGCGAGTGCACTTGCAGCGCCTCTACTACTGCTGGGTAGAGGAAAACGAAAGTGAAATTGGGGGTTTCTGCCTTGTTGGGATCGATGATAGTGTTTTGATATTAGGACAGATAATTAACTTTGATATAAGTAAATGCGTGTGTCGAATAAGTCAAAATCATCTTCTAGCTGAGATGGTGAGATTGCGTAGTGTGAATCATGTGTTAGAGGTTCGATCCACAGCTCCCACTATATATACTCAAGATATTTTTGACCTCAGTCAAGGGGGCTGCACTGCACCCCCCTCCCTTAGACGTAGCTCCGCCACTGGGCACAAGAGGAATTTGAAGGCAGACCTATTCGTGTTAATCGAGGCAAGATGCCAGCCAAGTTTAATGATTATCATGTTAACAATGTTAGCAAATATCCTCAAGCCTTTCGAAGAAAATCACATATGGGATGTTGTCATTTTACCTAAAGGCAAGAGAGTTATAGGCAACAAATAGGTGTTTAAAATAAAAAGAAGGTCAGATGGCAGTATTGAAAGGTTTAAGGCTTTACACATGTTTATGGTATAGATTTTCTAGATACCTATTCTCATGTTGCTAAGATTAATACTGTGAAAGCATTACTGGTTGTAGCTGCTAATAAGGGTTGGGTGTTGGATAAGATGGATGTCTCCAGTGCATTTCCGCATGGAGACCTTGAAGAAGAAGTATATATGGTGTTACCACCAGGGGATCCAAGAGAAAATGGCCATGAAAAGCTTGTATGCAGGCTGAGAAAGTCCTTATATGGACTGAAATAGGCAAGTCGAAAATGGTTTGCAAAACTGACTTCCTCATTACCGCAACATGGTTTCTCACAGTTTGCTTCAGACTATTCCATGTTTACCAAAATGGGTTCATGGACGTTTTTTGGTATTACTGGTTTATGTTGATGATATTATAGTGGGAGGTGACGGTGAAGATGATGTGGATGAGGTCAAGAAGTACCTTAGCAGGAACTTTAAGATTAAGGACCTAGGAAAGTTGAAGTACTTTCTAGGCCTTGAGATTGCTACAAGCAATGATGGAATTGCAGTAATCCAACAAAAATATTGTTTGGAGGTCCTTAAGGACACTGGATTTGAGGATGCCAAGTCCTCTGCTTCACCATTGGATCCAAAATTTTCACTGAGAGCTAAACAAGGAGTTCCACTTGAAGATCATGAGCAGTACATGAGGCTTGTTGACAGGTTGCTTTACCTCATCACCACCAGACCTGATCTAACCTTTACTATGCAGCAACTCAGTTAATTCCAGAAAGAACCTTATACAGAACATCTGCAGGCAGCATTTAGAGTTCTTAAGTACATTAAAGGGTCACCAAATCAAGGAATTCATTCAAATGTGATTCAACATTGAAGCTGTCAGGATACAACGATTCTGATTGGACTAGTTTTCCGGATTCTAGGAGATCTGTTAGTGGATACTGCACTTTCCTTGGTAGTTCTCTTATAACTTGGAAAGCCAAAAAACATACCACTGTTTCACGATCTTCTTTAGAAGCTGAATACAGAGCTTTGGCTCAATTAGTGTGTGAATTGCAGTGGATGAAATGTTTGCTTGCAGAGTTGAGTATGGATATACAGCTACCTATTATTGTGTGTTTGTGACAACAGATCAACAATACACATTGCTGAGAATCCAGTATTTCACGAAAGAATGAAGCACATTGAGATTGACATTCATGTGACTCGTGAAAGGGTGAAATATGGTTTGATCAAATTTTTTTATATACGAATTGTTGATCAGGTTGCAGACCTATTTACTAAAGTCCTAAGCAGATACATAATTCGAGAATTGTTGGACGAGCTTGGAGTTTGGACACTCCAACTTGAGGGAGGCTGTCAAGATGATAAAGAAAACGAAGCAAGAGTTCGTGAAGGTGAAGCAGAGGGTGCAGAGCTGGACTGGACTCATCGAGCTTCAGCAGTAAAAGAAAGCAATGAAACGCATTTCGGAGTCAAAGACGATTCGTTATATGGGAAGCGAATCAAGCCTTCATCTGGAACGCGTCATCGTTTTATCAGTAGTTGAGTTAGTTTTATTTCAGCCTTTTTTGTATCACCATGTGTCAACGTGAACATGTAATTGTGTTTTATTTACCGTTGTGCACAGTAAAAATGTAAGAGTGAGTATAAATGAGAAGCAACCCTGCAACTCGTCTTTTTGCGGGTTTTCTATCAAATCGTTGCCCTCTTGATATTTTCTACAAATCATTTAAAATATGAAATATCAATCAACTATTAAATTATTGATAACACTTTTGTTAGAAGATGTTGAGTTGGAAGAATTATTGTGATATGATGGTCGGACAAAAAAAATATACAATTTAATATCCAAATATTTTAACTTCATAAAATATTAGTCGAACCTTTTAAAATACAAAATAGGGTAAATACAATTTAATATACAAGCCTTTTATTTTAAACAATATAATAGCCAAACCTTTTCGAAAACAATCTAATATCCAAATCGTCAACTTTCTGTCTGTTTGACCGTTAGTTGACACTTCAAAAAAGTTCGAAGTACGACACTTCATCAATATCTATCGATATCTTCTCTGAAAAACCACCAACATATCGTAGTTCCAAACCCGAGAAGTCCATAACTCCACCGTGATGGTATATAATATCTAAATATTCAGTCATCTGCAATGCCAAAACAAGAAACAAAGTTGTATTGTGACAATTTCCCCTAAACAAAGCTTTTTTGAAGTGTCAACTAACGGTCAAACGAACGGAAAGTTGACGATTTGGATATTAGATTGTTTTTGAAAAAGTTTGGCTATTATATTGTTTAAAATGAAAGGTTTGGATATTAAATTGTATTTACCCTACAAAATATTAGTCAAACATTTCATAATATTGTAAATTTTAGTCGTTGATCCATTATTGTTAATACAAGGAAGAGGTTACCTCTATGGAGCGTACCACAATGATTGCTATAGAGGATCTTAATATCATTGAGGATTTCACAATCCAGTTAGATACATAAAATAATGTGCTAAAATTCATAAAAGTTGAACATCTATCGGTGATGAGGGGTTGTGCCGCCTCTAAACGAAATGTCGTTTGATTGCCAGATGATTGGCAAAGATTTTCAAAAAATATTAAGATAGAGATGAGTTAAAACTCACCAACAGTTTGGGGGTAAATGTTGGGGGTGTTACTAAGTTGGCCTCGAAGAGACTAAGTAATAAAGCACCGGCTGGAAATGCTGCTAGTGAGTAGTGTTGTCAAAACCGAACTGTACATTGATCCGGATTAACGAGAGATTCAAGATTTATCGAATAACCGTTGATTAACCGATATTAAAAACTGTTTATAAACCGATGCTTGGCTTTAGATAGGAAGAGAAAACATATAGTAAGAGTAGGTGTAGGGTAGGTGTCACTTTCCATGTTTTCCGCTGCCTTCGGTTCTTTTTTTTTATTTAACTATTAATTCAAAGTATGCGCCAGTTTGTTTTTCTCCATGCCCGCCTGTTTTTGTTCTTCTGGTATCGGATCTGTGCCCGAGTCCGGTTTTATCTGGTTAGACCGGCCGGTCCAATTTTAATAGCACAGCTAGTGACGTGCACACACTAAAAAAAAGCATTTTCAGTCACGTGAACTTTTAATTACGGGTATACACCCATAATCAAAAGTGAATTATACACGACGGGAAGATAATACTGTGACTCTTGATTATTAAATGATACTCGGGATAGCTTCCAGTGATTATTTGATGTGTGGGTGGGAAATGAAACAAAAATTCCGATTGCCGCTCTCCTTGGAATTTTGGCTGTTGAAAATTTTCAAGTGCCCGCCCTAACTTTTGGTCTTTTCTTTTAGTGTTTCTTTTGTATAGAGAAAATCGCTCCACCCTACTACTTTTTCCTCAAACCGATCTTCCTTCTCTCTCTC